CACGAGAGTCCCCTAGAGAATGGAGACCGCCTCTCCCCTGATCTCAAACATGCAGCCCCCCACTAACCCTCTGCGCCCGTCCACCCCAGACAATTCCTCCTCCCTACAAGGGAACAGATTTTCATCAATTCTCTTTCCAAATTTTCAGAGCATCCTCTCTATCTCCCACAGGAGGGGAGGCAACGTGAGGCAGACAACGAATCTCTGGAATGTGTACAGCACCGCAGCCTTCTCCAATCACTTTGCCATTTCCTCTTGAACTTGATCCTAAGGCTACCACGGAGACAGGCCGTACCAGCAGGAACCTGTGACCTAGGCCCCCTAATTCAGGAAACTCTGCAGCTGTCACTCCTAGCTCCTTTTCAACACCAGGGGTGTGGTGGGGGAAGAGCTGGTTTGGGGAGCTCATTCCTTCCTACAGCTGCCAGATTCTGGGCCCAACCTGCCCCCTAGCCCCCAGTCCTACCCCTCCTCTCACCCAGCACACGCTCACGTCAATCAACACCAGAAGCTGCAACTCAGCAGGGCAAGAGGAGAGAGGGGACCAAGGCAGGGGATGGCACTAACCTCACCCCTAGCGCAGGACTTGCAGGGTAAGGGAGGCACACAGAACTCCAGAGACAGGGAAAAAGACAAATGCCACAAGGATGGTAGCATCCAGGAAAGCACAGAGAGGCAGCCGGATAAAGAAGGGCCCATGGGATGGGCTCGGGTGGGATAGGGGAGAGCCAGAGACTACAAAGTCTCAGGCTAAGGACAGAGTGGCCAGCCAGCTCCAAGAGGCGGCTGGAGGATTTGCATGTGCTTTATGTACTTGTCTGAGGCCAGTTAACCAACAGCTAAGGCAGCCAAGGTCACAGGAAGCCCCCTCCCCACCCACCCCTTTCCACTAGACAACCCTTCAAACATCTCACAGAGCTGGTGCGAATGCCCTGCTGACAGGGATGCCCCGAAATCAGGGCAACAAGCAGCATTTATTTATCATAACCCACCCTGTGCCAGGAAAGCATAAAGATGACTCCCAAATATCCATAAAGTACACCAAGAAGGCAAGAATTGGACGCAACAGGAGATGAAAACCACACAAAGGCAGGCACACAAAATGGAGCCATTTGTAAGGCTGATACAAAAGCAAACAGCGCTACATACGTAAGTCTTCCCATGTGTGTAACTTGATCACTTGCCAATTCAGTGTCCTTAAAATAAGAACAAGCCAACTGTTCGGGAGAAGTGAAATTATTTCTGCTGCTGAGACTCAACAGGAATTTCTTTTGAGGATCTTCACAAAGAGGACACGGTATAATGTAATGATCCTTGAGATCAGAGCAGACATACATTTCCCATGAGATTTAATCCCTAACAAAGACCTTAAAATAGGGTGGGGGAGGCCACCAGGAACCAAGAATGCCTAGCTCCCTCCCGAAGAAACCATCACCGAAGAGAGTCACACGCTTAGAATGTCCCTCCACAGCCACACTGGTGGCAGAATCAATAGCCTAGCACAATCTGTTTGGGGGACAGCATCTACTAAAATATATTCATAATAGCCGTTAAGGTGGAAGCAACCTAAATGTCCATTGTTAGGTGACTGGCTAAACAAACTTTGTGGTATGTTCATACAATGCAATATTCTTAGCAATAAAAATGAACAAACTGCTAATATACACAAAACCATACATGAATCTCAAAAAATTATATTAAGAGAAGCCAGACAAAAAGAGTATATATACTGTATGATTTGTATGAAGATCTAAAATAAACAAAACTAGGGAGCTCCCTGGTGGTCTAGTGGTTATTAGGATTCAGCACTTTCACTGCTGTGTCCTGGAGTTCAATCCTTGGTCAGGGAACTGAGATCCTGCAAGCTGTGTGGCACGACCAAAATTTAAAAATAAATTAATTAATTAAATTGACAAAACTAATCTATAGTGACAGAAATTAAAACTGTGGGGAATTCCCTGATGATCCACTGGTTAGGACTCTGTGCTTTCACTGCGGAGGGTGCAGGTTTCATCCCTTGTCGGGAAACTAAGATCCCGCATGCCAGGCTGTGTGGACAAAAATAAATAAATAAATAAAACTGTGGTGAGATTCCACTGTACACCTACCAAATTTGCTGGAAAAAAAACTGAAAAATATAATGATCTGACAATATCAAGTGCTGATGAGGTTGCACAGCAACTCCAATTCTCAAATATTGCTGCTGCAAAATGGTACAGAGCAACTGTACACACACATACATAAGTGAGAGCATGTAAAACTGTATAATCTGAATAAGCCCTGTGGTGGGCACTGACAGCGATCACCTGGTTTCCATACCATACATTAGGGAAACAAGACGCTAGCACTGGGAGCGGCGGGGTGAAGGGTGCAGGGGGCCTCCCTGTACATTACTATACTTCCAAAAATTAAGTTTTAAGAAGCAAACCACTTGAGGGCTTGGTGGGGTGCCGGCTACACGGGTGTATATTCAGTTTGTGAAAATTCACGGAGCTAAACACTTCAGTTATGAGCCCTCTTCTGAGTGTACTTTATACGGTACTTCAATAAAAAGGTTTTTAAGACAAGTTTTGTTGAACTTTGCATTGATCGTGTCTCTCCTAGACCCCTTCCCATCACAAAAAATAAACTCCAAGCTTCTTAGCGTGGCTTGGAAGTCCTCTACGATCTGGTTCCCACATCGTCTCCACTTCTTCCTCCTCCCAGGCCAGTGTCCGCACTGCCCGCAGGACACCGGGCCCTTTCCGACCCCCTAGCCTGGCTCCCACTTGCCCCCGACGCCCGGACCCGCGGCCGCACCCACGGAGGTGTAGCCAGGGCAAGATCCACACAGGGCTCCCGGACTCGGCAGGAAGAAAAGAATGAGATACTTCGTGGGTAGTTTCTTGCATTCATCACCTGTGCGGAAATGGCAACGTTTCAGACACCGTGGGTTAAAAGGAAACGTGCTATTAAAATTAACGTCTCTTGTTCCCTTCTGACCGCTACCTCTAGACCGTCGTAAGTCACGTGTGCAGCGTGCCGGACTTCCGTCGGGCAGCGCAGGCGGTGGCCGCGTCCTCCGAGCCCGCGGGCGCAAGGGAAAGCCGGCGAGCGCCTCCACGCGGAGGACACGCAGGAACCGCGGGATCGCGGCGTTTGCGTGCGGAGCGTGCGTGAGAGCGCGCGGGGCGGGGCCGAGCCTGGGCCAGAGGAGCTTGCAATCGGGAGCGCGCGAGATGGCCTGAGGCACCAAGGAGCATGCGCACCGAGGGGCGGGGCGGAGCGAGTCCGGGAAGAGGCGGGACGGAGGCCGCGCCCCTGATTCCCGCAGCCTGCTGGTGAGACCGCCTACGGCCGCTGGGCGCGCCACGACAGGTCTGGGCTTGGGGTATTCCCCTGGCCCCGCCCCTGAGCCGCGCCTCTGGCCTATAGGAACTACGTAGTTCCACAGACAGCGGAAGGAGGCGGAGCCTCCGCCTTGCTGGGCCAGACGTCTTGGTTCTATAGCGCCCTCTATTGACCCTCTCAGGAACTGCCTGGAACCCGTCGGACGCGCCTTGCACCTGGCCAAAAGGGGTCGCTCTGCTGGCCTTGGGAAGGGGCGTCCCCGCCCATATCCTAGCGAAGACGGTTCCCTCAAACACGCATTTAATTTATGTAAATATATCTAAATATATCCCAAAAGAAAAAACTACAGTAACAATGCTAAGTGAAAGAAGCCAGACTCAAGCTAAATATGTAATGTCATATACTGTAAATGAATATATTTATAGTATATGACATTTTGAAAAAGGCAAAACTATAGGAACCATAGGAATAGATTGGTCGGTGGTTGCCAGGGGCTGGGTGGACCACAAAGGGACATAGGGGAACGCAAGGATGAAGAAACTATATCTTGATTATGGTGATGGTTACACATTTGTCAAAACTCCCACAAGCAAAAACTAAAAAGTGAATTTTTACCGAAGTTAAATTACACTTTAATTTCTTTAAACACTAAAAAACAAAAAGTAGATTGTGGTTATCAAGGGCTCAGAGAAGGGAGGAATGGGGAGAGACTGATTAATGGGTAAGAGGTTCATTTTGGAGTGAGAAATGTTTGGGAATGAGATAGAGGTGATGGTTGCACAGCATAGTAATGTAGTAAATGCCACTGAATTGTTCCCTTCTAAATGCTTAATTTTAAGTTATGTGAATTTCACTAAAAAGAAAGTATTAAAAGTTCTAAAAAAAAAAAAAAAATGCAGGCTCCTGCCTGCCTTTCTATTCAACAAATTCCTGTCTGGAGGCATTCATTGTGGGGTGAGATGTGAATCAGCTATTCTTCCTCTCTGGCCTCAGTCCCCACGTACCTGTCACGTACCTGAGGAAAAGCAGGTCAAGAGGGACACATTATAAAGCAATCTCTGGTCATGGAGGATTAAGGAATTTCAAGAACCACCCCCTTGCCAATTAAGATGTAATGTCCTTGTGCCATTATGATTCTCAACTTTCAGAAGAGAAAACTGAGTCTCAAAGGTCAAGTGGTTTGCCCAAGGTGATCTGATCACCAGCAGACCAACCCCAGGACCTGAGCTCTTAAACACCACACCATAAGGGAGTGCTCACTTCTCTTCTGTAGATGAGGATACTGAAGCTCCAAGAGGTTACACAAGGTGAGGAAGTTGCAAAGCCTAGGGATCAATCAGGACCACTGAGCATCTTGTGTCCTTTCTCTAGGAGACAGGAACCTATGGCTTGGTTGTTCATTCTCTCCTTGCCTCCTACCAAGGAGGAGTTGGGAGCCACTCACCTCAGCCCCAACACCATCTCCCATCTTTGCTGAATCCCAGAGTAAACCCAGGGAATCTAAGGATGCCAATTTCTCATCATAACACCACACATAAGTTCGGGGAGTCATCACACTCACCCACATCCAATCCCCTCCAGTGGGCCCAGAGAACACCCCCTATGCTACCCCAGGAAGCCTTTGCCAGCTCCTCATGACAGCACACATCCAGGAGACACAGAATCTAAAAAACAAAGTACAAACTTTATTTTGTTTCTTTATAAAGGCACAGTGGCCTCTTGGTTTTTTCCCCCCACTTTCTTAACAAAATATAATAGCTTCTCCTTGAACACAAAGACCTCAAAATTGTAAAAAACAAAAACAAAACAAAAAACTAAAACCAAAAAAGAACCAACAACAAACAAAACAAAAAGAGAAAGACAAAGACTTTTTTGGGGTGGAAGATGGGAAACCTGGAGGGAGAGGTGGGGGCCGGACAGTGGTGGAGAGTGGCGATTCCTAGTGCTGAGACAGGGAGGGGCGGGAAGAAGGGCAGCAGCAAACCCCAACCGAGAAGCAACGGAGACCCCCGGACCCCGAGAGCCCCGACCCAGCCAGACCCCCAACCCATGTAAGTGCTTAAAGGAGAAAGAACACCAAAAAGAGGAGGGAAGGGGGAATTAAAAACTGACGGTCATAGGGCTGGCTCTGGGGAGGGCAGAAATACCTTGGGGTTTTGTTTGATTTTCCCTGTTCTTAAAAACATGTTTCAATGAAAAAATGCTTTTTGGCGAGAGAGGCCAGGCACCTCCGTGTCCGCTTCCCCAGCCTCCGGGGCCGAGGCCCAGCCCCAGGTGTCCCGGTGCTGCCACGCGCTCCTGCCGCCCCAGCCGCCCGGACCTCGGGTTGGGTGGCTTCACTCAAAGGTCGATTTACAGTATTGAAAAAGAGGTCATAAAAGAGACCCAAATGATGCCGTAATTTTGTAAAAATTCCTCACTCGTTCACCCTCATGTCTCCCAGTTGCTGCCCCGCCCCCTCCAGCCCCCAGAAGGGAGAGGAGGGCTGGGGGGTGGTCAGGGAAGACCCCCGTTCCCCACTGGCTCCTCCCGGCTCTGGTCCATGGCGTCGCTGTCCGAGGCCTCCGAATCGGAGGCGGTATCGGAGGCGTGGGCCTCGGGGCAGTTGCGGACCGGCTTCACGATGACGGCTCGACGCTGCTCCTCCTCCTGCTCCTGCCTTTCCTGGGTGCCCTCGATGTGCTGGATCGCCTGGCGGAGAGGCTGCCATGAGGATGGCGGGGCCATGTGGACAGCCACCATCTCCCCCACCACCCCCTCCCCCACCAAGAAAGGTCCAGAAGCAAGCCTGGCAAAGCAGGGGCAGCCTGCCAGAGTCAGGAGAAACAAACTTCAGAAGCCCTCTGCTGAGCTGAAAAAGACTTGGAGGGGAGACAGTGCCCAGCTGCGTGAAGTCACAAGCTTCTTACGCTCACTTATATATTTCAAAGCCTGCCTGTTGGCTTATGGAAGGTCTCTGTTATAAATTTTATTATTCAATTTGTCGGGTTTACATGCAACTCAAGTTCCAGGGGTTGATGGCCTTTTTTCTGTTTGGGCGTTTTGGGTTAATTGTTTCTTTGCAATGTTGTTGGGCCTCCCAAGAGGTCTCTGCCCCAGGCTGGGCACAATAGTGACTTCAGGTTCGACCTTCAGAGCTGACAGTGAAGCCAGGCTTCACTGTCACCCAACCGGTCACTGCCACCTCCACCCCCATCCCAGGTCCTGGACCAACCCAAGAGCTGGATGCAGGAACTCTGAAAGCAGGGGCTCCAGGAACAAAGGACCCCCCTCAGCAAATGCCACGTGGAGAGAAGGAATGGGGTCTTCCGGGCCATCCAGTCCCCCCTCTCTGCCCCTCACCCCAGATGCAGAGATGGAGACCCATCTGGCTTCCAGACTTCCTCCCCACAAAGCTAAAGCTCTGTCTCAATCCCCTCCAGTCGCCCACTTTCTTATCTCCCCACAAAGGGCCCATTCCCAGAGGACGACCCCCCATGCGTTGCCCCCTCCCCAAGCCAGGTACCTGCACAATGGTGTCCAGATTTTGCCGGGATGTTGAAACAGAGTTGATGACCGAGGAGGGGCCCATGGTGACGACATTGATGTGGTGGGAGGGAGGGGGCGCTGGCGCCGGCACGATCACCGTGGGATGGTGGGTAGGGGCTGGAGTGGGCAGAAGCTGCAAGACAGAGGCCCTCAGTCTTTCTACGAAGGTTCTGGGAGCTGCCCCTTCCCTTCTGTCCGCCCCAGAGGGTGTGGGACGGCCCTCCAAAACCATCTCCCTCTGCCCACTTCCTGGAGAGCCTCCACCGATCACCCCAGCCCATCGGCCTCCTTCACTCGCTGGGGGCTGTCCAGTTTGTGACCCCTCCCACCCCTCTTATTTTAAGAATGAAGAAAAGGCGGCCTGGAGAGGGGCTTTAGGCTGTCTAAGACTGCATGGCCCTTCCCTCTCCAGAGCCAAGCCAGCACTTCACATCTAACAAATACAGTGGTGGTCGGGAGTTCAGACTGAATTTAGATGGCCAGGGTCCAAATCCTTGCCCCGAACTGCTGAGGATACTGGGTGTGTTACTGAACTTTTCTGTGCCTCCAGTTCCTTATCAGTAAACAGGAGTAATAACAGCTCAGGCCTCAAAGGGCTACGACAAGGATTCAATGGAATAATGTATGCAAGACACCTGGAAGCCAGGAACATCTGCATTACCATGATTTAGGCCCGGGGTCCACCCTGCTAGACACCCAGAGGCACCAACATTGAGTCTGAGAGCCCTGGCCCAGGCCCAGGCCCAGGCCCAAACTGCCCCTCCAGGCACCTCCTGCTCACCTGGGTCCGCAGGTGCTGCTGTTCCCGCTCCAGCTTCTCCTGGTGCAGCAGCCGCACCTGCTCCTGCTGCTGTTGCAGCTGCACCTGCTGTGCGATCACCTTGAGCTTTTCCGGGTACATGTGGGCCTCCAGTGAGCGCACCTGGGGGTGGAACGGCAGGCTCAAGGGTAGGACCCAGGCCACACCCTGGTGCCTCCCCCAGCTCGGGGCCCACAGACTGCTGAGGTCAGCCTCCCTGCCACCCTCGGGGTAGAGACCAAAGTCCTGACCGTAGCCATCCAGGCCCGCCCTGACTCTGCTCCCCTCCCGTGCAGCCCCCCTCATGCCATGCTCCCTCCCTGCCTGCCTCCAGCCCCAGGCCTTTGCCCATGCTGTTCTCTCTGCCTGGAGCACCCTTCTCCCCTCTCTGCCTGGTCAGCGGTGAGACTCGCCCTCCCACCCTCGGCTCAGGTCACTTCCACAGAGAAGCTATGGGGCGGCCCATCTGGAACCAGCTCAGGTCCCCCTCCTGATGCCCACCCATCCAGTGTGGCCTTTATCACAGCTGCATGATTACGATGTGAGAGCCATTGACTCATCTCTCCCCAGGCAGATGGTGACCCCCAAGGACTGGGACCTGTCTGGTTTGCTCCCCACTGGACACCCCTCTCCTAGGCCTGGCACAAAGCAAGAGCTCCCGTAAATAACAGGAGAAAAGGAAGAGAGCTGGGCAGCATCCCCCACCTGCCCGCCCACCTGCCTCACCTGCTCCTCCAGCATCATGCGCACCGAGCGCTCCTTGTCCAGCTGCTGCCGCAGCTCAATCATCTCCCGCCGCAGGTCCTCCGCCTTCTCGTCCTCCCAGATGTCTGGCGAGCCGATGCCCTCGTCCTTGTCCTCTGCCCGCCGCCGCTTGGGGGATGAGCCGCTCAGCTCCTGAGGACCCCAAGGGGTCGGTGAGTGTGCTGTGACACTGCATACACCACCACCACCACCACCACCACCACCACCACCACCACCCCCACCGGGAGTGGGGGTGGGGAGCTCCATCACAGCCCCCCAAAGCTGTCAAACCCAGGTGCACCGGCACTGGGGAGCCCCAGTGTGCAAATCCACCAGACAGCCAAGGCTGGGAAAGGAGGCAGAATGCACTTCCTTCCCCAAAAGTCACCCAGTTCCTTCCAGAGCCCACTCCACTGCACTTGACCGTGGCTAAATCAGGGCCTGGGCAGGAACGCAAGTGCCAGAAGTAGGCAGTTCAGTGGGGAAGAAGGGACCCACAGCCACATCACAGTCCCAAGCCAGTGGTTGGGCCCGGACACGCCCATATCAGTGAGAAGGAGCCAGGAGGAGGGCAGGGCACTACCTGGATAAAGCGCTTGAGCTGTGTGTTCTGCTGCAGAAGCCTGGTCTTCTCCTGCTCCAGGGAGAAGATGTATTCGGCCGTTTGCTGGAGAATGGCTGCCTGAGGGCAGGAGGGACAGACAAATCAGGGACCCTGGCTGACAGTGTTTTCCGAATCTCCCTGCTCCAGCCCATCACCTCCTCCAGGAAGTCCTCCTGGCACTTGCCCACCTTGCTGAGCTTCTCTCCATCTGTGTGGGGGATGAGGGTCTTGAGGGACTGGAACCCCGCGTTGATGCTCTGCATGCGCCTCCGCTCGTTGCTGTTAGCAATTTCCCGCCGAATCCGCCGCTCCTGGTCCCGCTGAGTCTCAGGGGTTAATGGAATGTTGGCAAGGCTGCGGGGAGGACAGGGACAGGCTCAGGCTGGGCGCCCTCCATGCCCTGCCCCCAGTGGCCCCTGTCTTTACAATTCATCTCCAGAGGGGCCAAGTGTAACAGGCATCCCTCCCACTACAGAAGATACCAGCTCTGTCTGATGCTTACACCCCCAGTAGATCGGGGGCTGATGGAGTAGCGTGCTCTGGGATGCCTGGGTGTCAAAATAAGCATGCAGACCCCAGGTCCCGAGCCCAGTGTCTGGCCAGCAGGTCTGAGTGGGGCCCAGAAACCCACATGGCTAAGAATCCCTGTGATTCTGATGCAGGTGGCCTCAGATGATAATCAGAGACACCTGCTCTTGGGAAACCTCTAAGCTCCTTGCTATGCACCTAGACCCCCTCCTTCAAGGTCGCAGGCTTGAGGACTGAAGGAGATGTCCCTCCTCCCTTCCCACCCCCACAGCCACAAGCTACTATGTAAGCCCCCAGCCTGGACCCAGACCCTGAGCTAAGGTTTCAAAGACAAGATAGGTACCACTCACTCCAGGAAGAGGACCCGGCCAACCTCCCCTGGGGACAGTTCTCCCTGAAGCCCACCCATCCCAAAAGGCAAGCCCACCCTGTGCCAGAGAATCGAGGCTCCCAGCACGCAGTAGGCGATGTTATTGCATATTATGTGATTGCATCTTGCAGGAACGGCAGCCAGTGGGGTGAGAGAGAAGGCAGCAAGCGGTAGGGGCGAGGCTGCCAGCCGAGAGGCATTGGCAGGAGGCAAAGACGGCAGCAAGGCCTGTGGGCCCAACGCCACTGCTCCCGAGAGGTGGGCCTGTGTGTGGCCTGGAGGAGGCATGCTCCCCTTCCAGGCCCCCTCCTGCAACTCCCCCGCCCCTGGACTGATGGCTTCCAGATGCTGGGCTCCCAGAAGAGGCCATCGGCCCCACCCAAAGCCACAGCCCTGGCTCTTCCTGAGGGGCCCTCCTGGGGTGACCTGGTCCAGGCCTGGGCCAAGAGAGCTCACACCTCTGGGTCTAGGAGAATGGGGAAAGGATTCTGGGCAGCCTTGTTCCATTGGTGGGGGAGCCTGGGCTCAAAGAGGTAGGTGCCCAGGCCCCCATGCCCATCCCTAGGCAAAAAGGAGTTTGCTTGGAAACCTAGGAGAGGAGCACATCTGTAACAGCTAGATACAACCAAGGCCTTGCTGGCCCCCCAGCCTGCCCCACCTGTCCCCCCTCAGCTCCCTGAGGGACCCTAAACTAGCTCTTGCCCCCTCCTGGGTCTCTGCCTCCTCTCCCCACAGAGAGGGTGGTCAGCTGGGGGTGGGCTGGGAGCAGGCTCCACATCAGCTGCTGCTGGGTGTCTGAAGCCCTGTCCTCCACCAGCACCCCCAGCATCTCCCTGGGACCCTCCCCAAGATACAGTTCCCTCACAGCACTGGAAAGGTGGACGACGACCCCTATTTACAAATGAGACTTAGGGCTCAGAGTGGGAGGGACACAATTTTAGGGTCAGACAGCCGGGCATCTGGCTCCCCCACTTCTGGGCCAGGGGCACCTCCCTTCTGTCAGTTTCCCTGCCCCTACAGTGGGGGTGATGGTGAAAAGGGGAGGATGCAGGTCAGAGACCTGATACGCAGTGGCTTGCCTACCCCTTTGCAGGGGGGGTGGGGTGGG